TGCAATTATGCTCCTAGTATTATGCCAATATACTTTAGATTATGTATGTTAATCGTTGCAAGAACAGCAGTTTCTATTTTACTTAAGCAATAATTCTAGTACTAGATGCGTGAGCGAAACAAATATTCTTCATCCACCTGCTCTGGTTCGCAGCATATTCAGCATCGCTGGTAAATAACAGATGGCTGTTATCATCGCATTGCTGAAGTATAAAGACCAAAACTTGATCGTACGATTTATGAATCAAGTAATCAGTCAACATAATTTTTACAATCGTAACCTTGGGTAAGGTTGATTTTTGTTTATGAGGTATTATTTTTTTATATTCAAAAGTGAACTCCGAGCAGTTCTTTCTGGAGATGTGCGGAACCAATTTTTTGGTTCCAGCCTCAGTAAAATTTTGATTTTTCGTCCCGATCCCAGTAAATATTTTTTTTGATCCTAGTTCTGGTCTAGGTGATTTTAGTCTTTCCGTTACGTGCTCGAATTTAGAGAAACTGTTGCAAAATGTACTGGTTTTACATCTTGAAGAACTCTTCACTGCTCGTATTTTTTATTTTTCTGGTAGACGACAGATATGTGCAGGACCAAAAGTTTTTTGTTCTTGGTCCCGTTTGCGCACTTTTTCAGTTCTCACACAAGTGTAAATATTTTAACTATAACTCGTTTTTCATATACTGTAAGGTTACCAAGCTTACAAGTTTCAGCAGTAGTCGAATTCATTCGCTTCTTAGAAGACTACAGGTTTAGCAGCTTATGCCATATCTAAAGACACATTAATCCTGTGACTCTAAGACTAGGTCTAAATGTTTGAATATGGAATTCTTGCTTGACTTCCATTTTGAAGGAGACAGCTTCGACTGCCTATCCAGGAAAAATAACAGAATATTCATGTTTTAAGCTTTTTGACCTATAATCTGATTTCCAAACGCTCCTTAGGAAAGCTCAATTGTTTGGAAAAAGATATTGAAAATAACTTGCATTGTGAAACAATGTAGTTAAGTATTAACTTTTGATGGATTAGAACCACAAGTCTCACGAGGGAATCTTTTCAACTGTCAAATCCCTTTTTAAATGAAAGCTACAGGGTTAAAGGTTATCGACTATGCTGATTCCGAATTTGGGTATGAGAAATCTCTATAGGCTTTTCTAGGGTGGTTTTCTAGAAAACTGGTTTTTCAGAAGAACAAGCTTTTTACCAAATATTCTTGTTGATTCGCTCAGATTCTAGAGCATGTCAAATTGCCCATAAAACCATAACTGTTTCTATTTCAAATCAATTTTCCGACGAAATACAGCTATTTGAATTCACATAACACATGCACCTTAGAGCATTTTTATATACAAAATACAAAAGTTTATGTTATTTTTTTTTTAGTTTACTTTTGAAAAGTAGAAAAACCTTTTGATTTAAAGACAATTCGATCTACTCTATAATCTGAGCAGATCAAAAACAATATTAGGTAAAAAGTTTGTTATTCTGGAAAACTGGTTTTCTAGAAAACCAACCTAGAAAGACCTATGAGAATTTCTCATACCCAAATTTGGAATTAGCATAGTCGAATTTAGAAAGGAATTTGACAGTTGAAAAGGTTCCCTCATCAGTCTCTTTCGTATCGAACCTAAATGTAGATACAACATTAACCTGAATGATTAGATACGTTGTTTTTAATTGTATTTAGGACATGAAATTGTGTATAGTCTTAGTACTTTTTTATTGTTACATTTGTCATGGGAGCGACATTTGGTATCAAACGGAAATGTCTATACATCTTGTGCCACCGTTTCAGAGTGTATACACAACACTGCAACAAAATATACTCGATAAATTATTAACTATTGATTCAAACTCATTAACAACACATGATGATGCACTCACATCTTTCGCATCGAATCTTCGTTGCGGAGTAGAAAAGTTACTTAAATATCTTGATGCTTCTGTAGCTGCCAGTAACAATATTCGTATTAAAGTCGACCAGAAACTAACCACTATTACCAACGATATTGCAGCCAAGAAAAGTGAAATAGCCCGTACTGATAATCAAATTCGAGATGTGAATGCAAAAGTTCAAGCAAAACAATCTCAAATAAGAGCAGCTGAGCAATCCGTGAGACAAGCCGAAAGTGTAGTGGCAGATGCTCAAAATGCGTTACATCGTGCTGAACAAGAAGTTGAAGATGCTAAATTATGTGTCGGATTATTTGGAAGAAGAAAACGATTTCTAGGTGACCTATGGAGTTCAATTCAAAATTCAGTTTTAAAACCAATAGAATCGGCAGTTAATAGCGCAGGTAGCGCAATAGAATCAGCGGTTAATAGCGCAGGTAACGCAATAGTTGAAAATATAGTAAAACCTGTTTGTAGTGTTGTTAATTTTCAACAACTCGATAATACAAGAAGAAATGTTGAGAATAAAAAAAACGAACTGGCTTCCTTTAGAAATCAAGTTCAGATATTTAGGAATGATCTAAACTCAATTCAAAGTGATTTAACCACATATAATGCACAATTATCTAATTTAAATTACCAATTAAATCATTTATCAAATTCATTAATTGCACTACCAAATGAACAACATATAATATTATCAATCAATCAAAAATTATCAAATGTTGTTGGTCATATACGGACATTATTTGGTGGATCAACATCATTCCTAGATTCAATGACAACAATGATAGATTTTGAACCAATTGTTAAACCATTAAACGCCATTTATGATGAATTACAACAAAATCAGTTCATTGCATCATTTAATGCTGCCAAAATATCGATGGAGCAAATAAATCAAGCCAAAATAAGTTTGCTAGCATTGATTGCGTCAATACCCAGTATGCCAGTCAATATGGGAAGCACACGCTGTTCGAATTAATCAGACGACGTGCTTTTTAATTTCAGAACGAATATTTGTATCACTCTCGAAATAATAATAATGCAAAATGCATCATGTCTTTGGGATATGATTAAGCATATCAATTGCCCATGAATTTTTGACCTGATGCTCTTGCGATGAAAGTCATAGATTTGGAAAGAGTAGAAAAAACTGAGTGTTCCGCTAAAATATAGGTAGCCAGTATAGTGTTTCGAAGCAAAAATTTTTAAAACTCTTTTCTCAGCAAGAATAGAAGCAATCGCTTCCAGATCGAATGTTTGAAGCTGTATCCATTAAACAGCTTGATTCTAATTGTTCAAAGAGCAGTTGCATAACTCTCGATGTGATATCTCCGCTCTCTCGTACTATACTGATGAACAAGGAGTACTAATTATAACTTGTTACAGATTTCGAATTGGATAAAGTTGACTGTTACACAACAAGTGGGAAATATTTTATTTTCATGAAAAATTTGAATCTGTGATTAGAAAATCCTTTATTACTATCGTCAGAAACTCACGTTTAATGGAGAAGAGAATCGAATACATTGTACTTAATGGATCGTGAGATTCCACATAGCCAGATTTCAAATCATGAATGTATTGAAGAAGCACTACAATTAAAATTTTAATAGTTCTTTTCCGCACCTTCGATTTTGTGAAACACGATTATTAATGAGTGTTGAAGTTTATGGCGACAAAAGTGGACCTTTTCACCACGCCACACAGATAGACAAACATTGTTGCGATTCCGTGACCACCATCAGACAGAAACTCTTTTGGTCCAATCACAGTCCATAACAGACATGCCAAATAAAACTTTCAGCGGCACAGATTGTGACTATCTTTCTTTTGCTATCATCACGCAATATGACAGATGTTGCGACCGCTGTTCTTTAGATAAAACAACTTCGTCGTATTTCACCTTTCAATCCCATAGGGATTGCGCTGAAAGTTTTTCTCATCAATAACATCAAAGCGCGAGGAAACAAACTTGTCTTTCAAAGTTCTATCAGGGTGTGGCTGTGGGGTGAGGGTGTGGGTGTGGGGTGCGGGTGCGGGTGGGGGGTGCGGGTGGGGGTGTGGG